AGACGAGGGAGAATTCTTATAACAGATATCATTTTATTGTGGACATGCGATAGAATATGATAATACTTGTATGGAAGACGATTGATAGCTAGTAGTTGAATTGCGATACTTATCGCACTGAAGCTATCTGTAACTGAAAGCAATGATGGATTATGTTACACGTCTCAATTTATATTTTTGTATTTATAAATATTTGTTAGGATTTTCATATTTATCTTAATATTTATCTTTATGATACTTTACTTTTACTTATTATTTAAGAATTTAAATAACATTATTTTCGAGAGATCGTTTAAATTTTTATTCTGCATTTTGATGCGATTTCCGTTTACTTTACAAGAAACGTTAAAAGCAGTCATAACGTAATTTACCAGAAAGTAATGTTGTCGTGACATTTTATCTAATTTACATAATCATTGATATCATACATCAAGTGTCGTAGTGAAAGAGTTGACTTCGCCTCTATGAGAGGTGTTAGAAAACACGAGACATTTCCTTGTTAATTACTTTCTCGCCGGGACACTTACAATCTCAACATTTTACGTGATTGTACGTACCACGCGGCGCGTTTCGTAATTTTACATGGTGACAGGTGTTCGCGGTTTTCAACAAGGTTCTGATTCTTGCAACATCGACGTGACATGTAGGGTAGATAGAATCTTAATTCAATGCTTAAGTATTGAAATAAATAATACTAATAATAATAATAACAACAATCAGTTATTAATATAAAATAAATTATATTTTTATGATAAAAGGTTTTAGAAATTTTTTATTGTATCTGGTATAATTATAAAAATTTTTTAAGGAAAAGTATACAAATTAAATATTAAAAATATTTTGAAATTTATAAATTAATATGTAATAATACAGAAAAATATTATAAACATATAAATTATAAAATATGTATAATAACATAATAATGTGATTCTTTGTTAAAAAAAAATTTATTATAAATTTATCAAGAAATTGTTTCAATGTCATCAAAGTCTACATCTTGTTGCAAATTTTCGTGTTTTCATTTTTTGTGCATAACATCATAAATCATCAATTCTAAATCATCATGATTAATGATTTATAATTCACGATTTATTACGTTATGCACAAACCTGAAAATATTCTTGAAATGAAATTTTTGATTCAAGACTTGAAACAGCTTCTCATTACGTAAGTTCGGAGAAGTAGAAATTTGTTGGCATAGTCGTGCTGTTACTGCATCCAGTCAATTACGGCAACGTGTGTAACGCGTTAACGCGATTGCATCGCGGAAAGCACTGCTGCGGAATTTTACATGAGATTGAAGAGAATGAAGAGAGAAAATGAATGAGAAAGGGAGAGAGAAAGAGAGAGAATATGTGTTAGTTTTCGACCAATATTTTAGTGTAACACCGATATCCTCGAATACAATATATATAAATTCATTCTTATATACATTAGATTCCATTTTATACAAAAAGAATCTATTTAGGGAATATGCAAAATTACATATAGTAAAAAAAATTACATAAGTACATATTTTAAATCTGAAGGCTCAAATAATTTTATTACCAATTAAATGAAAAATTAATTATGCCTACAATTTTGGATGATATCTAAGGGGAATAAATATATAAAGAATTGTTTTTGTATAAGTTTTTAATTATATTTGCATATTATATTTATATGAAAATTAGACGATATCTCCATCGACATATAACCAGTTTTACTTTAGTGCAACACGGCTTGCCACTGTCTAGGCGTTCTCTTAGGATATATTGAAAAAATTCTGATACTAATTTTTATATGAATTAAATAATAATATTTATATACAAATTTATATAATTATTAAAATATTAATATAAAAAATTTA